AGCAAAACGTCGCGCTTGCATTGCTCAACGTCACAACTCTGCGTTTTTTGGTCTAAACATATGTTTCGGCATCGTCGTTCGCTGGGCTGCCTCCGTAAGTTGCGGTGATTGGATCTCCGAGTGTTATGCAAAAAAATAAACGCACGGGCTTTTTTTATTATTTTTTTTTTAGAGTGTACATACTGTATAAAAGTGATAAGGCGCCGTCTGAACCCACAAACGTTTCGTGCAGCGAGGGGCAAGGCAGAGCTGGGACTTTCTAAACACTGTGACCCATGGTTATGTTCTTTGCTTTGATCGGGATAATGAATATTATTCAGCATTAACCGCTTTAATCTTGGCCCACTTTGTGATAGCTTTATTTTCCGAACATTTCTTAGGTTTGAAAGCCTTTTTAGATATCCGGCGGCGGTTATCGAGCATACAAAAATGAGAACGGCGGCATTTGCGTTAACACTGCGGTCATTAAACGTCGTCTTGCGTCACTATTTGTATTAATGCATTTGACTGCACTGCGGCCTACGTCAAACACGTGTTGTAAGAGCATGAAAGCACGTGCTTTCCAGGAAAGAGACATTCCTGTCACCCGACCGCTCCCGGACGAAGCTTCATCTTCCTTAAATGCTTAACAAGCGCGTTGGTAACGGCAGCAACAACGTGGTGCATTCGGAAGCGCAACGGCTCCACGCGAACCGCTTGCTCTGGCGCGGATATTGGCCATTGCCTCAAAATGACAACTGGAAATCGGCATAATGCGCTCGACATAACAACAAGGCCCTGCAGAAAGTCACTTTGTATTTGTATTTTAACGAGCTTCAAAACATGAACCATTTTCAGATGAATACGCTCATGCCGACTTACCCAAATTAGTAACAATTTCGCCGAACGCATTCCTCATTAGTTTCATTCCCCGTTCTAAAAATGAAATAAAAATGAAATCCAACCTTTTGAAGATGGTAAATGTGAGAAAAGGACATTAAAAATAAGATTCAGCAATTCAAATTTAAAAAAAAAAAAGTTGTTTGATGGGCTTCACTCTAAATGAACAACGCTCAAGTACACCATTCCCGTTTCCTTTTGGCAAAATACAGTATATCAAAATAAATGAAAAAAAACAGTGAGTGCGCAGGTGAGCTGGTGGAAGTTGATCATGATGTAGTATACCCGAGACTGTGGTAAAAGCTGGGAAACTTGGTCGAAGAAAAAAAAAACAGGGAAAAGAACGTCTCAAATTCAGCTACTGCGTTTATTTCCTCAACCTAATCAACCTAATCACCGACTACCGACGTCAAAAGGTCAACCTCTGTTATACAATCCTGCCCACACTGGTCTTCACCTCAACCGTAAACGGTGACCTCAATCCCAAACTGAAAGCTTGGGACCTTGAACAAAACAAACACACCGACCCTCTTCCTTTCCAGCCGGAGTCTGAAAGAGCAGTGCTTTATCGCAACGAGAACTGATATGTCCTCCAACTGAACTCCTACCCACAAAATGACTCATTCCACGTTCACTTTAAAAAAAAAGGTTGACAAAAACATTACATTTTAAGAAACTTCTTGGAACTACTTCCGAGTTGCATTGAAGCATGGCTGATATAATTACCGATGGATTTAACACGAACTGTCTTGTTGCGCTCCCTGTGCACAATGTCAGTTTGCGACCAAAGTGCCGCACAATCGTTGCACTCACTAATGTGTTTAGCAATCTCTGAAGTGGGTGCGTTTATTTTTACATTTCTTTTGTGCTCTACCAATCTATCATTTACACACCTTGCCATTTGACCTACATACTTGAAACCCCATTCCAGTGGTATTTCATAGACCACCCTTTCCTTGCAATCAACCGACTTATCACGGTGCGCTTTCTGACCCGTCTGAAACGGTGTCAGACGGTTCCGATCAAAGTCGGACCTAAACGCTACATCTATCCCAAATTTCTTTGCGCACGCTTTAAGGTTGTGAGAAATTACGTGAAAGTACAGAATAACCGTATAATGCTTTTTCGCTTCCTTTTCTGGTCGTTGTTTAGCCTTTTGCTGCAATTCCGATTGTCTTTTTATGAACTCACTGTCATAGCCTGCATCTTCTTACCTTGACCACTGCCTTTCTACGTCACAACCCATAAAATGGGCACACGACTTGTCCAGTGCGTTGCTGATTAGAGATTTGACTACACCTGCTTTACTGAGTTAGCATGACAACTTTTCCTACTCAAAACGGGTTTTGCAGCCATTTTTTCCGTACTCCCAACATAAGACCAGCGTGGATAGGATTGTATAACAAAGCTGACTTTATGACGTCGGTCGTCGGTGATTAGGTTGTGGATATACTATAAGGCTTTGAGGCAGGGGCGGATGCGGGAATTTCCTGAGGGGAAGAGGGGGGGGGGGGGGGGGGGGGGTCAGGTGTTGGTCAGCGTTCCATATGTTTAGGAACCCCCTCCCCCTCTCCTTCGTTTTACGCCCTAAATTTTACGCATGCAGAAATCAAGAGGGGGGTCACGACATCCGAACCCCCCCCTCTAAATCCGCCCCTGCTTTGAGGAAATAAACGCAGTAGCTGAGTTTGAGACGTTCTTTTCCCCTGCCTTTTTTCATCGACCAAGTTTCCGAGCTTTTACCACAGTCTCGAGTATTCTACATCATGATAAAAATAAAGTAGTTTTCCAAGTTATACACTAGTTATTGACCTTGCGATGCCCCGTCATAACATACCCCTGTTCCCTCTGTGCATTTATTAAGACGAAAGCCTTAAATGTCTCATCGTTCAGTCGACCTTCAAAGTTCTTGAGCGAAAACACGTCGACGACATGAAAACGACGAAAATACGTCAAAAGTGCTTTGTCAGAAAGTGCGCCGCCTTCGGAGGTTCGCCATCACTGGGATCACAACAGACGCCACGATCCGATGGAGCCAATGAAACAGCGCCAAAAGTGCGTCGTCAGAGAGCGCGCTGTCTTCGGCGGTTCGCTATCACGTTTACGTGACCACTGAGGCGAAATATACTTCGTCTCACCCTACGATGGACAAAAGGAGTTTAGGTGGCTGGGATGTCCGTGACTTGGTGTGCGGAATTTCAACTCAAACTCTATAGAAATTGTTAGTAATTTTAAAACGCTCGGTGCAGTTTTTTCTGCTGTGTCATGGGATAGTCATATTATTTGATTTCAAGTGTCACGTGTTATCGGTTTGATGTATCGCCACAGCTCAACTGTTCCCACTGCTGTTAAAATAATTATTTACAATGCGTTATTTTTTTCCACATAAGTTATTGCCGCCTTGTCTGGTGTACAACCACGGAACCCAATCTTAGTCAAATTTACCTTCTTCAGAAAAAAATCGCGAGAGCTATCTACAGTACCCCTATGATTCTCACGCTGAGATCATGCTCAATAAGTTACAAATATTAAAAAATGCATAACTTATATAATTATAAACTATAAAAAAAAAATGCGACTTCAATTCTAACAGAATAGCTTCATTAGAGCAAAATACTATAATTTACGTGACTCGCCACAATGAATACTGGAAGGTTCTTAAATGTAGATCAAATAATGGACAACAAATGGTCAAGTACATGTAAAGTGCCTAAAAAAAACGAGGACACGAAGAAGACGAGACAGGAGAAAGCCAGAAAGTCAAATTTGGGGGTTTTACGTGCCAAACCAACGACGGGCATCTGGCACGCCCCAACGGAGGACTGAGGATTAATTTCGACCACCTGGAGATCTTTTGACGAGCAACCGAAAGCTCGGTTACCACGGCGTCTTCTCCGCAATAAGCCTCCGTCAGATTAGGGGCACCTCGGCCGGGGTTCGAACCCGCCATATGGGGATCCGCAGGCAGACGCTCTCGCCTCGGAGCCACCGAGGCGGCTACAGGAGAAAGCACTAACTTACAACTGAACGTTTATTGAGACATACTTTTTATTTGCACACAAATTCAGGCTCCCGACACAAAAAGGCAAACTCTTTCTCAGTTAAGTGCACTGATGGTGCACTTACGCAAATATCCTCGTCCTTTACTCTAATGCAGAAGGCATCAAACAATTCTCCCTCAGTTTTGTTTTCGAGTTTTCCAACTAATCTTGTTTCGTCAAGATTAGGCGCACACGAACACCTATCACAGTGAATTGCTAGATTAACCGATGGGGAAATTCTAACAGATAGGACATGCTCGCGTGCCCTGTCGTTGATGCACCTCCCCGTTTGCCCTATATACGCTTTTCCGCAAGTCATAGGTGTTTCGTAGACAAGAAAAACAGAGGGAGTTGTAATTGTGATTTCACATAAATGATTGGACCGAACAGTATATGGAAGTTTCAGAATAGTGAAATAGATTCAAAATTAAAAAGAGAAAATGGTCTCGCATTAGCAGCCTGCACATCCCCCCCCCCCCCCCCCCCCACACACACACACATACACAAGACATTATGCGACACCAGATACGGCAGGAGAAACCTGTGAGTGTGATAATTAGTGAACACTTCGGTATACTTTACATAATCAACATAGCATGCCGAAATAATTGCGAACATAATGGTGTGCAACGCAAAAATATCGCCGATGTCTTAGTCTCTGTGGCTATTCTATAGGGCTTGGTGCTATATTTTGCCCGCGCTTCAAGCCTGGAGTATTTTTTTTATGCCTCCGTCACTCCTAAAGGCGGAGTCACACTGCTCATACATCGTACAAAAGACAGTCCGCATAGAGATTCGAACGCGAGTCACCGCGAGGTCCGTGCTTCGAATGCCGCATGACAAAGGGTTCGAGGAGGAAACTTGGCACGCAGCATTCGAACCAAGGATATTGCGAAGAGTCGTGTTTGCAGACTGCCGTTTGTATGATGTAAAAACAAATGTGCTGTGTTAAACAAATAGTCTTGAATAAAAGTAGAGCTTGCTCCGTTGTCCAAGCATTTCTTGTGGAAAGTGGCTCGCTGAAACGCTGCCCGTTTTCAGACGTGGCAAGAGAACTAAGCAATACATCATCTCGTGCAGATTGAAGACGCTGAACATGTCGTCTGCACGCAAAGCGCAAATGCCTTGGTTTCTGGAAAGCCGTTCCTTCAGCTGACGCAGAAAGACTTGTGTCCTAGTGCACTCATGCAAGTCCTGGCGTTGGGAGTGCCTTTTTTTGGTAAGTGCTCATACCATTTCTGCGGAAGTGTGGGGGAATTTCGATTTCGAGTACTACACTAAGAGCATGTAATTATACATTTACACGTACGTTGAGCAGCTTGTGCAAGCACTGCTCATTGAACACGTTAATGATGCGCGAAATCACTCTTAACTCACAATGACCCTTTTCTGCATAAAGACGGCACGTAGCGGCGTACGAACTTATTTCGGTGGAATGTTCTTGCTGCTAGCCAATGCAGGTGATCGTTAAGGCCCGTTCACACTCTTGCGACCGAGTACGACCGAGAAAGACTTCTTGGGACCGGATGCGCTGAGCGGAGCTGGTCCTAAGAGATCGCAAGAGGCTTAAAAACCGGTTTGGTCTCTCTCGGTCGTACTCGGTTGCAAGAGTGTGAACGGGCCTTTAGGTTCGACGAAACAGCGTCTCTAATACACTCGCGTCCCAGCCTGGGCAAGGTTAAAAATTAAAAAAAAGATACAAACCTCTAATGTTTTTTCTTTGTTACTTGAATTAGTTACTCCTTCAGAATAACCAAGCCTCACTGGGCCTAGTATGCCATTATCTCTAAATTCAGAATAGCTACAAGGCGTGAAGTTGGTCTAGTTGGTCCATAGTGCAAGCTTGCAAACAGCGCAAAAAAGACAAGGGACAAGAACGAGAAGTGAACAAACAGAACGCTGACTGGCAACTGAGTTTATTCCTGCGAGGAACAGAAAAACAAAACAAAAAAACACATAAAAGATGCAAGATAGATAAAACATGACTGGGTAAACATGACATAGATAAAACACAACCCCCCCCCCCCCCCCCCCCCCCCGGGCCGCTTTACTGGTTAGTTGCGATATTTTGGAGTTAATGGGGGGAGGGGGGGGGGGGGGGGGGGGGGTGCTAGGAAAGAAATAAGGGCCTCGGGTGCCGGATGGTCTAGCTGTGCCACTAGTCTATTGAGATACGACCGGAAGTACACCGCCCTACACTTTTCTGCACCGGTGCTGGAGCCAAAGTAACGGTGACTGGAGCTGCAGGTAAATCGAACGCAGCTATTGCATAAATAGGTCACAGAAATTACAATGAAAAACCGGCACAGACCCATTTTAATATGTTTTAAAATCAATATGTCACAGTAAGACATTAATTACACGAAAATATTTCTAGACACGAAGATAAGTGCCCATCAATCTTCCAAAAAAAAACAACACCATTTCAAAAACGTTTTTTCTTATATTTTTAATTTGACTTCAAAACCATGCCGACGAGGCCAGGCTTGAACTAAATTCCAACTGCAACCGGGTTCTGTATGTGTATGGTGCATAGGAACGCGCGTCACCGACTGGTGTGTTTCCTGCTTCCGACAAAGTGGTCCCTTGACACATTAGTCGGAGACGCGTTCCAGGCACCATAGTATGCGGGATGTTTTTTGGTGTAGCCGCCTCCATCCTACTGGATGCTTTCCTGCTACTGGCAACGAGATGTTTCGGTGGCGCCGCCACGCAGGCGAGCGTGATTTGAGCATATGCCACGCCAAGTAATCACACGGAGTGGTCATGTTAGTTTGCTTCTATGTCAATTGATAACTTAATTTATTTTAAAGAATGTGTATGACATGTCTAGGATCTGTTTCCTACAGAATTAGTCCAATGCCACTTTTAAAAGATACAACCTCTAAAATGTTCAGAAAGAAGCCTGGAGCTTGAGACAGCTTGCGTGGCATGCGTCATGGCATCTCCGATTCCACAATTTCGAGCCGCAAATTCTGTTCTGGGTTGTTGGGCTCTCATATGTCACGTACAACTAAAAACCTCGGCAATCATAAATACCCAGTCAGTGCCCCTTTAAAGAATGACTTTAAATTTAAAAGTTTTCGCTGAGAAGTGCACCACACATTCTGCACAAATATTATTTGGGTTCGTGAAAACAAACATAAAAACAGTCGTAATCCACGATAAGTATATTACTGATTTTTGGGACGCCGAAGTGTCACTGACTCATTAGATCTTACAGGTGTCGATCGCGGAGGTTTCGCACGTTTTGCGTCGAACGGGCGAATAAGCAGGAATTTAGTTGAAACGACTCTGGAAGTCAGCCACTAGGTAGTTGTTCCGGGGAAGCATGTTTATTGGTGTGCAGATTGCAAAAAGAAATAAATTTCGAACTAATAAGCGGCCATCACTCACAGAAAACAGTAAACCGACTGGGTATATGAAATTGCTTTAAGTATTTACTACACAGTTTGATGAGCTAGTCCTTCCTCAGTTTTTAGTCGTTTGGTAAAATAAAAATGACACCCTCTTCTCCATGGTGGGTGTTGTACTGAGGTGAGGCACGGGATATTGTTTTCTGTTCAGTTAGAGAACAATATATCACCACCTCTAAACTCCGAAAGCACCACAAGCGATTGCTTAGCACGGCTATGCTTGAAGACATGATGCCTTCAAGCTATGGTAAAATGTAATGCCACAAATATCATGCCACAAAAAAAAAAAAAAAAAGTATGAAGGAGGCGTGAAGCGAGTAGGAAAACACGTGAAGTGTGAAAAAGTGTGAAAACACATGAAGCAAGCCGAGCCGGGGAATCTGCTGCGCCGTCCAATCTCTCTCCTACTTGCTACGTCGCTAACGGTTATGAGTTATGATAATAGCTAGAGAAGCTCCCCCTGTAGTTTGCTCATGCCGCCAATACTAACAGAAGAAAGTGAAAGAAATCTGCATTTGCAGAAAGACTAATCAGACTTGGTGGGGGAACAAACCTAAATGGAAACAGTCACTCACCGCAAAGTGAAAAGAAAATGAAATAACATTACGACACCAAGCAGCAGCAACTCGTTTTCTTCCAGTGCTCCTGTTCATGGCTCTGGCAACATCAATCCTCTACCTGAAGTACAAGCGAGAGGTCAAGATTTGGCTGTACGCCCGAGGGGTATGCGGTTTTCTGCAGTGCATTAAGGAAGACGACCTGGACGAGGACAAGCTCTTCGACGTCTTCCTCTCGTTCAGCAGCAAAGACGCTGCTTGGGCCTACGAACACCTCATCCCCAGAGTGGAGGCCAATGGCTTTTCTGTCTGCACTTATGACCGCAACTTCAAGGGTGGCTTCCTGATCCAGGACATCATCCAAGAGGCTGTGTCCTCCTCCAGACGCACCCTCCTTTTGTTGACAAAGTAGGTTGCGATTCATCTAGTATATGAACACAATCACATTTGATTACTACTACACTCGTGAAGTGTGAAGTACTGGTTCATAGAAGATATGGCTGCGAGAAAAAGTTTTTAGCGTTTGAAATGTGCATGTTTTATAAAATAGCAAATAATTGATTCTAAATGCAGATTTAAGAATTTAATTCGCCCCATAAATGGGGAAATCAGTAACGTTCTGCAAGGTGTCAACTTTTTTACTACTGCTCTCGAGGTGAAAATATAGAAAAATGGTTTCAAACAAGTTCGCCATGATTGACACAGGGGCATCGGAACTGTTAAGATGGGGGGCAATGGCTGGATGTGGGTGTGTGTGTGTCTGTGCGTGTGTGGGGGGGGGGAGGGCGGCTTTTTTTCTCCTTTCTTCCCCAAATTTTGTTCTCCAAATATGTGCAATGTCTTGTGGAATACGGAAAAGGAAAGGTGGGGGGGAGGGGCCTTTCCTGTTCCGACGCCACTGGAGTGACATGACCGTTTAGTCATAGGTAGTACAACAAAACGCGATAGTTGGCCCATTAGATGAGTTTTCATGTCGCAGGAACTTCGTGGACAGCGAATGGTGTCGTTGGGAGTTTAGGGTGGCACATCACCGTGCTCTCGAAGACAGGATCAACCGGCTCATCATTGTAGTCGTGGATGAGGTGACTCCAGAAGCATTGGATGAAGAGCTGCACCTCTACATGCAGGCCACCAGCTACCTGCGCTGGGGCGAGCACAAATTCTGGGACAAGCTCATCTACTCACTGCCCAAGAAGGATGCCAGACAGCGGCTCATTCTTAGCGCTCTTGACACCCAACAGACTTTTGTGTCCGAAGAGCAACTTGAACACCCACTAACTTCACAAATGGAGTTGTCGACAGAAGTATAAGCAACTTTCGAGTACCGACCAGATGTGATGTGCATCACGTCCGAAAGTGAATTCACATGCTCATGAGCTGCTTAGATGCAGCTTTTAGCAGGAGGGGATGAACTGCTATGCTCTCAGCCATGCGGTTGTACAACAGCCAAGAGACCTGTTCACTTTCTAGACCATACGATGGATAAGATTCCTCAAATGCAAACAAGGTTTACCCTGCATTGGTATAAACAAATGTGATGCCCACAGAAGGCAACTGTTCAAAAGAGCATGACAGTGCTCGTGCACTACGAACCCCATCTCTGCTTGCCCACAAAATTATGATAGCAATAGAAAACACATCTCACCTGAAGCTGGGAAATTAAATAAACCGTCTAGTCTTGTACACACTTCGACAAGTGTAGTGCCCCAGCGACTTTTCCTCCCCCCTGGCCACCTGCCACAAAAGAACTGTCCGAGCCCAAGCCTTCAAGCCCAAAACTTGTGTATAAACAGTCACTGACAGTTGCTGTTTATCACATTTGTGACCGTTCCACCAACAAAAAAGGCATAACTGCCTCAAGTATGCTCTAAAAAACAAAGTTTCTCGGGAGCACATGGCCAACCAAATGCCCGTCTATTATATTTTGTTTCACCTAAAGGCCAAACGCAGTCAACACTACGAGCTGATGGGACCAATCGGACAGTGTCATAAGTGCACCATCGTGGTATTCAATATGTTTCTGTATGTGTTCTATCATTGCTGAACCTATCATAAACAGAAAAGGCATACCGTAAAGTACTGATCACACGCCAACTTAAAATTTGGAGATAATCGCAAGGAAGTGGGGGATCGGCGCTAGTTAGGTCACAAATTTGATTGATATTTGTACTGCGCATATTTTTTCAGATGCTACAACATTTAAGGATGGGTGCTTGAGTGGAATGGGCGGATGCTCGGTATTTTACGGTAGTTACTTGCATTTTTGACGCCACTCGATTGGTCCCATCATCTCGTAGCGTCGGCTGCATCTGGGCTTAAGCTGAACAGCAAGCTGAATGCCCGAACTTTAACTATCATGTTTCAAACATTATTAACGATTCCTTGCACATCCTGGGCATAACTGCACGCATTACCCCGTGACTTCCGGAATTACACCTGTATACTGAACCTTTTTCGGGCTTTGGTTCTATCACGGTTGGACTTTTGTTCTATGGTATGGAATTCTTTGGGTGTCGGTTAGGCACTCAGGTTGGAGAGCTTACAGAGAAGACTTGTGAGAATTGTATATGATCGCCACATTGGACAGTGTTTATGATTATGCGCTTCTTTTCGCCACTCTTGGTCTTTCGCCTCTTCCAAATAGGCGACTAGTTCGCGACATGGTGTTTTTACATAGGTTATTCAATTCTGTATTTGATTCCCCAATGTCATTGAGTAGAATCTCAATTCATGTCCCCAAGCGACAAAATAGTACTCCTTTTTTTTTTATCCCTTTAATCTAGAGTCCAGTCCTCTGCTGACATGGATGATGCTCATGTACAACAAGTTTTTTAAGACACACATGGACTTTTTTATACCTTTTAAAAAGCCAAAAGAATAGGATAGTGGTCAGGATTGCGATGTAGTTTGTTTAGTTGAGTGCTGTTTTATTATGCCAAGTGTAACCTTACAAAAGGCCCCTAAAACTGTTTGGGAAACACAATAAAGCTCAGATTGATTAATTGATTGATATGGAGTATAGCTAAAGTTCGGTACCAGATTTGGGAAAATTTTACAGAGAAATAAAAAGAGAGCAAACAAAGACCATTCCCAACTTTTATTAGGTACATTTAAATAACGTAAACTATGAAGGTACAGTCACTTAATGCAGCAGGGTTTTATAAGACTACTACTAGAGATATTAAGCAATCTGGAGTAAACAAGTGCAACATTACACACGACATTCTATGTGCGCAAAAGTATCTAAAATAACGGTCTTACAGGCTACTCAAGGTGAGACACAAGTGAATAATCTGTACAAGTTGACTTTTCACCCTTGACGTAAGTACAAAAGGCTGACGAAACAGAGCCCTGGGCAAAAGGCAGAAGAATCAGTGCTTTACTGTGCACTACTACCATACTAAACCTTAAAGCACACTGAACACTATGAATTTAAGGAACATCAAACTAAATTTTGGGAACACTTTCTTTTAAAGTTTTGCGTGTATATAAACCACCCGATAAGGGTACGTATCAGAGGCTGCCACGTCGAAAGTCTGGCAGGGAAATATATATACACCTAGACATTTCGGACCATTTAAGGGTTACAGACTGAAAATAAGTGTTTGAAACATTATTGTGTTCGATTTTGGCAAACATGTAAATGCATCCAGATCTTAAAATGTGCCACTACGACGATGCTGAAGCAGATCAATCAAAAGCCCCAAGCACATTCAACAGACAACATAACAGAAAGAAGCGTTGCATTCTATGTACATTCTGCACATTATTTAAAAGCTGTCCCTGCATTATAAGGCACGGAATGTATTCAAAAAGTTTTGGGGCCAACTCAAAACCATCCAGAAGAATTAACAGACTGTCTAATTTTTGGCACTAGTTTCAAATAGTCTCTTTCAAAATGTGCAGGGAAAAACGAATCAAACCTAAGAACAACTGTTCGAAGCTGAAGTGGAATTGGCATGATCAAAGAATATTAGTTTCAACAAACTTTTAGAACAACAGCCGGAGACATGTCCTGGCTACACCACTTCATACTTCTTTATAGATTGGGCCAGGCAGCAGCCGAAGATGATACCAACGACCTGAAAAAAGAATAAATGGTTATGGAATTAAGCCTAAAAGCTGCAATTGCATATCAGACTGAATAACTAAAACTTTTAGCATTGTCATAAGGAAACAAACTTCTTGCTCTCCAATATCATTGCCCGAACTAATTTCTATTCCATCCAAGTCTGAAAGGTTTGTCAGACATCTTAAAATTGTGAGCAAAATGTTGACATTAGTTGCAAAAGTTTATCTTGGTGTCCTAAACTTCCACCACCCTTTTGCTGTGAATGCACAAATATTGGCCAGAGGGACAGAGAGAACCAACCCGTGTTTCTTATGTGAGGAGAGCATGCGTAACCTCATCCCGCTTGCGAAACTTCCCTCTGCGGGAGACCAATACCAAGTGCAATGCAAAAAAGTACTATGGTATCTCTACCATTGATGTTTGTGCACTTGGGTTCTAACAGATCAAAAGTTTATCTAACAAAATGCAGTATAAACAAAAATATTTTTCATTCTCTCAACAGATGCCTACAAACTTGTCAATAATATTCAGCAGAATTATGCATTTTTTGATCCAATAAAGCAACCAACATTTCCATCTACAAAAAAACCCATGCCGAGACATCCCCACAAAGAATGGAGAGCGCCAATCCTTGCGATTTACGGGAGGCTAGCAAATGATGACGCACAGATCGAGCTTGGAACGAAACGGGTTTTGAGCGTGTCAATGTCAAATTCTAAATTCCAGCACTAGGGTTCTGATGCACTAACCGCATCATTTGCTGGTCTCCTTATGTTAATTGCAAGGATCGGCTCTCTGCATACAAGGTGGGTGCAGCGCCCACACTTCAGGGGGGCAAATGCAAACTTGTTTGTAATTTGGGAAGTTCGTTTTCATAGGGTATGACGACAAGAGGAGCAAATGCAGACATGCTTAATATTTAAAGCTGTTATTCTGATTATGCCGTCCACACTATTCAATCACCTTTCAAAGCTATGCACATACGCATTTTCCAGTACATTACTGGAACCAAACATAATACACCTGCATAATGCAGCTGTAACCAGGTATAACGCAAGTATTGTGATGAAGACAGAGACCCTGTGACTAGTCCCAACAATGTTTCTGTTCGACCTGACCCCATCACAAGATGTTTAAACTTCAAGTAAGTACTAGTGGACACTTGACAAACATCCACACGAGAGTGGCTACTCCTAGTAAGGGCTTTTTTTGGTGTGGTTGCTTGAACTTTAACCCCTTTAGGTGTGTCCCTCCCACACCACATGTCTTGAGCATCTTGAGTATTTCAAGAAGAGAAAGTTAGCGTCACTGCAACCTCGGTAACCTATAAAAACTACGTACTGCACGTGAGGCCGCACCAGAATCACATAATCACCATTCAGGCCCCTTCAACATGCATTTACAACTAATTTCGAGAAAACTCCAACTTCACAATTTTATTTCTAGAAACAAAAGCAATAAAATTTCTCAGAACCATTCCCCACATGCCCATTCCCTTTCATCTGTATATAAAATTTTTTTTTTTTTAACTTATTACAACTTTTGATAAGAATAAGGAAACACTAGCCTATGTAAGAAAACAGATTACATAATTCACAGAGTACAACAATTTATCCAGAGGAATCAAAACCACAGCACACAAAAACCTTGCACTGTGAGACGATCGAAGAACATTATCTTCAATAATTTTATATCTTGAAACTTTAAGATTGAAAGATTTGGAAGCCCAGATACGCTAAATGTTATCACTTGACAAGTTGAGACAGAATGAAGACAGACTGACTGCTGTGCTGCACAAGAAAAATGCAAGAAAGTGAACAGTACGCAGGACATTACAGCTTGAAACTTGTTGAAAAAAAGGATCATGGCTTTGAATGTTTGTCTATAACTTAGGTTAGTATCTAGCATGCTTCGAAAACAAAGAAAATGTGCCTTGTACAACAATTAAAATCCTGCAAATTTAACTGGGTTTCTAGAACAAATAAGAGACATTTACACTAGGACTGTGGAAAGAGTTGATAAAAGCAAGCTCTAATTGCCATGGAAAAATATCTATGCTCAACATTTTGGTTTAATTAAAAGTTGCTTGTACATGGCGGCTCAAGGTAATATTGCCAGATGTCTGGCACTTGCAAAGTGGGTTCTGTAGTCAGTTTCGACGTAGAACGATTTCTTTGGCCTCAAGTCACATATGTGACAATTTGTTGGTGTGACTGCAACTATTTACCATTATGAGCTAATTACACCGACAATATTTGTCGAATAAAAGTGGGCATATACCATCTGAAAGACAAAGAATGTCCCTACAAAACGGTGTATACCCGAAGTCTTCAAGTTACGTAGTGTGCATGATGTCAGCCGCAAAAGAGGTGGAAAATTACAACTTCGCACTGCCTCCACATTGTTGCTTTGCGTGATGATTTCTAAACCAGTCACGCTAAACTCGTAGGAAAGGTGACTAGCTGCTCTAACCTGTATAAACAAAAAAAAAAAAAAAAAAGAAATTACTTCATTTTAGAAAAATTTTACTATATAAAAAAAAAAAAGCAACTAACAAAATTTCAGAATCGTGGAAGCTAACGAACATGGAATGGGTCAGATGCTTTGGTAAAAGCAGCGAGCCAAGGCTGCTGGACAACAGGAAAACACAGCTCAGATCAGTACAGAGTGATCCTGGAAATGCAGGGCCCGTGAACGACAGACTGAATTTTTACCACGCCCACTTCAAGCCATAAACAATCTACTTCCTGCTACGAACCCAGTTGTTCTTAGAGGATTTCAACATTAAGGTTGAGTGGGGAGAATATGTCATCTCAGGCCCACGGGCTAAAGTGCTAAAACTTGAACATCAGATGCAATCAAGCTTCAAGAACAGTAGCGCCAAGTGAGCTTGCGACGATGCAAGTCTGCGGAGAAGGATGTATACGTGCAACCCACCCGCTGGAATTAAGAAAGTACTACTTGTACATGAGTCACAAGAGAGTACAGTAGACTTTCGGTAATTCGAAACTTATGAGGGCAGCGAAACACTTTAAATTAAGCATACCTTAAATTAAAAAAAAAAAAAAAACACTGAAACCGCGAGTTTTCTCTATTCAGTACTCGCCCAGAAGTTGAAGGTGAGCACGTTGGTTGCAAGTAGGTGTTACTGAAAGTGTGAACACAAGGACAGACAATATCTCTGCTGATGAAGACATGTATGTAGGACCAAGTTCAACATACCGCAAGCCGTTCTCGGGCACCTCCGGTGTTTTTGTTGAAAACATTCTTCACGACAACCAACACAGTTTCAGTTTCGGGGGCAAGGAAAGCGACAGTTCCTAGGCCTAACCACCATATTATTCTTCACGACAACCAACACAGTTTCAGTGTCGGGGGCAAGGAAAGCGACAGTTCCTAGGCCTAACCACCATATTCGATGGACAAAACATCACTGAGGACTGAGTAATTCCTCTCAAGAGCAGCTCTGTTGGACGTGCGCACCACATGGGGTCACGTTGTTAAAATCGCTTTCGTAACAGAGACATCACCATGATGCGCATGGCCACGGCTATGCTTTGCTTGGACAGACCGTTTAACTGACTTGGTCACCTGGTAGCTTAGTCGCACTCGCTCCCTCTTTACCCAACCACGCGCACATTGGATATAAACAAAAGTGTGTATGATAAAGTAATAAAGTGTGAGTTTAAGCCTGGTCAGCATAATCATGAGGCTTCTTCATGCTTCAAACAAGTAAGTATATTTCACGCAGTCTTGGGTAAGTTACTTTTAAAAAGTAATTCGTTAGTTACTTTTAGAAAAAAAAGTAGCGAAGTTACCGTTACAGTTACCGCAACAAAAGATTAACTCGTTAGAGTTGGTTACTTTTAAAAAGTAATGACGCTACTTTTCTTCAACACAAAAAATTTAGGAAAAACTAGAAAACGCCCCTCACCAAGTTTTATTCCCTAAAATTAAAACGTATGTTCTTTGTTCTCATCAACATCCCTACCCTTAGTAGCACTAGCACATTGCTGGGCCGTTGACGGTTGCACTGGGTTCATAGAGTCCCTGGACATATTTCACTTCGTACCTGACAAGCCAGAAACAAACCTCGCGCAAACATCAGTAAATTTTGCCTTGACTGTTGACACCACGCTGGAGTAGTGGCGCAAGTCAAAATACGAAACATGCGCAGTGCCCTCCAAGTGTATCTTGTTTCATGGTTGATTCACCTGATCAAAAAGCGTTTGTGCAGAAAAAAGAAAAGCTGCAACACAAAAGAAAAAGTGTGTGCGTAAAGATAACTAGATTTTTTTTTCTTCATCATATACATCTACACGTAGTTATATTCAGTCGTAACTCACAAGAAAGAACGTATTCACAAGTTTGTGCAAGGCCAACTCGACACTCGAAATGTCGGAACAGACAATTTAGGAAGTGCAAGGAATAGCTAGATTGTACTCGTTCAATGATATATTGTTCATTAAAACTGGAAAGTAATGACAAAAGTAACGTCGTTACTTTCATCGTTACCTCAGAAAAAGTAATAGAACTACAGTAACAAGTTACATTCTTAAAAAGTAACTTGTTACAGTTACAAGTTACCGAAAAAGTAACGAAGTTACAATAACGTGTTACTACCCAAGACTGACTTCACGTTTACGTTCAGCACGAATAGACCGATCTCACCAGGAGTTGCGCGACGCCACCACTGCCGCGGTGCATTTTGGTACCTGTAGTTCTCCCCAGCTTTCTGGCCACGTCAATGAACATTGTACGCCCGGCGCTTGGAAATTATCGAGTTAGCACGAAACTTTTAGCCGGGTGTTTACTCATGGTTTTCAATTGGTGGCTTTACCTGTTGCATGTCACGGAGCTATAATAACAGCACCAGGCAAAAAGGCCTCTGATATTACGTCTTCCCGAAAGAAAGAAGCATGGCAAAGAAAGCTAAACAGAGCCGGACAGAGCGGCAGGAAAAATAGCGTTTTGCAATTTGTTTTATAATTTATATCCAAGTCATTGCAC